AGAGACCGGGAGGGAGGGAGGGGACGGGGAGTGACCGGGCAGGGGGGCGGTGACGGCCAAAGTCACGGCGGAAAAGTTTCACGCCTCTCTGGCACTCGCCCCGATTCTGTTTTACGACGGCAAAGTCGTTTAATTATCGCGGCGAGCGGCCAAGGAAGCGGCCCTTGACACACGGACGCGGAGGGAGCGGCAGGAGCCGGGGAGCGATAACAACGCGAACCTCAGAGCTCCGAGCGGTCCGGGCTGCGAGCCCTGCCCGGCCCCCCCGGCTCGGCTCGGGCACAGTGGGGAAGGGAAACACCAAAGCCATTGATGGGCCCTGCAGGTCTTTATTGACCCTCCCTCGCCGGGGAATGCTGAGGGCGCTGTGGCCGGAGCTCCTGCCCGCACCCCCGGGAGCAGCGTCCATGGCTGCCCCGTGCTCCTGACAGCAGGTTTATTCCTCTTTTACCAACTACAGCAGAGGGAGAAATGTCTAGAAAGAGATTTAAAGGGCTGAAACAACTTCGCCAGAGCCAGTTAGGACTAAGTTGAATGCAGGGAGCAGATGTGATCAACATTAAACTCACCACCTCCCTGAAAAGGGAACAATTCATCTGTTTATGAATTCATCCCTGAAAAGGGAATCAATTCTAGCTACAAACGGTTAAAAACTACAACAGGTAACATTCCTGGAACTTGCTGCCAGAGGAGAAGAGGGGCATTATTTTAACAGGTCTGAAACAGGAGATGCAGGACTGTATTTGGATCATTTCTCGTGGTGCCTCCTGCTCCCTCGGCTCGCTGTCAGGGGCCTTGTGCTTTCCCCCACGTGCAGACACGGACAGTGAAATCGGAGTGTGCCAGAAGGACAAATGGAAGGTGTGATGTCGATTTGCACATAGAGCTGTCCCTGCCCGTGGCAGGGGATTTTAACTGGCTGATCTTTAAGGACCCTTCCAACCCAAACGTGTGGTTCTGTGGAATGTTTCTTGCAATTACAGACACAGAGATGGGAGTTAACTGTTATCCTTACAAAAGAAACAGCATTTTTAGACAAAATATTCAAACTTTGCAGTATCTCAGTTCCAATCCTATGAAAGGAAATGTCCAAAGACACCATTTTATTCACCCTTCTTAAGAAACAAAGCTGCTGAATATGTTAAGACCAATATCAAGTTTATTTTTTTTTTAAATAGCCAAGTGATCTATACATACAAACTTCAGTTTGTTTGATGTAGGGTTGCATTAGAGTCATGCTTATTCTGGGAATTTTACTCCATGGGAAGTTCCAGGAGAGGCACAGGGAGAAATAAACCTCTCACCCAGGTAAATGAAACCTAAGCTTGCATCAGTTTGGTCATCAGCAAGATTGTATTTTATTAATGAATCCAGATCTGTGCTAACATGTTAAATTAATGGTTTGAATGCATGTTTTCTTTTTTTTTTTCCCTGACTCGTGATTTGAACAGGTATGACAAAAACTCCCTTAGGAACACTTACTTGGAACTTGGCCTTCATGCTGCTGGTGAATTTGCATCATAATATGGATGTGCTTGGACACAAGCAAAGTAAAGCAGACGTGTAAATTAATAAAAGTAAAGCAGGAGTATAAATTAATAAAAGAGCACAGGGCCATAATTACAGGTCACACAGTGCCTGACAGAATTACAGAGATTTTCCACTGGGGAAGGGAGCCCTGTGTTCTCTCCACCATGGATTTGCCATGACTGATCCATTCATGTTGAAGCCCTGGAAGTACAGCCAGGCACCAGCCTTGCTCCCCTCCCAGAGGGAATTCTCTTACAGACCTTTCCTTGGTATATTACCTGTGTTACTTAGATCTGCCTTAATTGTAATTTTTTTTTTTCCCTGTTTCCTTCCTTTCTCACTCAAATTAGGAATTTCCTGAATGTTTGGAAAGTATCTGCCTTGTAATGAGTGCAGCCACAAAAAACACTTAACAAACACTTAACAAAGCTGAAATTCAAAATAAAACCAAGGGCCTCAACATCTAGGCTGGGAAAAGAAACCAAAAGCTGGTGCTTCAGAAGATCACTTATCAGCCCAGTGGCCAACAAACTTCCTCAACTCAAACTTTACAAAAACAAGTTTTATACATTCCTAGGATTTTCCCTTTATAGACACACTTCTCATACAGCTGAACTTTACAAATTTAAGCAAATGTGATTACCACAACCTTATATATCAAGCCTTTACATCAGGGAATTTTTGTTAGGAATACAGCTGGAAGTCACTTATAAATAAAGCCGAACGACTGGGAAGTCCAAAGCAAACAGGAAGAAAAATTAAGGCCTTTGTTACAACACAAAGGGTTCTGTTGTAACCTGTGAAAGGTATTTTTATGGCCAGTCTGGGCACAGGATGACTTAGGATTCTGTACTTTCCCAGAGAAAAGAAGGGTTTGCTAATATTATGAAGGAGGCAGGGCATTTATTATTCATTCCTGCCATTTCAGCACACTGCTGAGCAGGTGCATTAGCAGTTTGTGGGGTTGTTTGAAGGCTTCAGCACGGCAGAAATGCTGCTTTTGCTGAGGAACAGACATGCTGCACAGTTTCTGAAAGGTCTTCAGCCACATTCCTAGAAGAAAAATAACCATGACTGGAAGAAAATGGTCAGCCTGTCACCCCTCCATTCCAGCTGTGCATTTGCCATGGATCTGAGGATGTTCAGTTCAACATGGGGCAAGAAAAAAATATATATTTTTAACTGTCTGCTGTAATAGGAGTGACCATTTTGTTGTCATATGTTCCAATTACATTCAAATGTCTCTGATTACTTTTTCTTAGCTCTTCTATTCTTTTCCAAGCAAAAACTGATGGCTAATAAAATTCACGTTAGGTGTAATTTATTTTTGCTGGGTGAAAATACCCTTTTTCACCATCCAGAAAATAAAAGAACTTCAATCAAACTGGGAGCAGCTCACCACCACTCCTGGCTGTAGTGCTGCTACATCACACCCAGCCACAACAGGCCAGTTTTAGCTGTGAAACAAGAAAAGCAAAGTATCATATGAAGAGAAGCTTTCATCTCCTGTTCAACAAACACTTTTGCATTTCATATTATCTTTAATGTTAATGATCCTTCTATCCTGAAATTTTATAGTGAAAAAAGATCAAATGTTTTATGCAATTCAGAGCAAGGCAATTAGTTCAGAATGAAATTTTGATTTATGTGCCCCTCCACCCTGTGTTTCTTCACGAAAAGAAACCCAAATTCTAACAGCAGCACGTTGAAACTGAAATAAATAAACACAGTCTAGCAGTTATTCCCAGCCAGTTAAAGGGCTTTTCCAGATGATGATTCCTTTATTTAATAGCAACAATTTAATCAAAAGTTGATTCAAAATAATTAAAATTCCAAGCTCCAGAATAGTTATTTTTAAATATAAACCAGCAACTTCTGCCAAGAAAATAAAAAGAGCTTCCTTCTGGCATGCCTGAGCACTTGAGTCAGGGTGAGGAGACTCAAACAGGGAAGTGCTAGAGAAGCTCTGTCCTACCAGTATCCCTCGAGAGCCCGGTCCAGCTGGAAACTGAGTCAATGATCTTTGCATCAGTAAGTGTTGAAGGCCACAGAATATCAAGGAAATGTGCTAATTCTGATTAGCAGAACTTCCAGGGTTCCTGCACGAATGAAGTCAGGGGTAAAAAATGTACCAGTCATCGATCCTCACAAGTGAGTCAGGGCAGTGGTGCTGCTGCTGCTGCCAGAATGGGGCAAAGTAGAGAGTTTCCTCCTGGCTGCTACCACAGACACTTGTCCAGGCCAGCAGTTCCCATTTATCTTGCTCCACCCCTTTTCCCTCCATAAATAAACTCTGTTGTGCAGTTCCTGTCCTTATCAGCCCCAAAGCAGGAATCCTGCAGACAAAGTGTGCTGCTTCCAACTCCAGGCCTGCTCCCTGAGTGCCCCTTGTGCCATCTCCAGCGAGCTGTGCCCCTTCCCACCTTGGGAACCACAGAGAACATTCTTTGCCTCCTGTGTTTACACAACTGGTTGCCTGCCACAGGATCCTCAGCCCAACTTTGAATGGAGCAGGGCTGTCAGTTGAGCCCATTTAGCAGATCAGTGAAAGATTCTGCTGTTCCCCTGCCAGGCACAGTGAAATCATCCTTGTCACCCTCGGCCTGTCCACAGTGCCCACCCTTGATCATGGAATCTGTCAGAGGAACAGGAAGATGGATGATCACAGCCCAGCTATGTGGCACCTACTTGAAGTCTCACCGTGTTTACTCCGGTTCAAATGCCCAGCAGTCTTCCTGCACAGCAAAACCAACAAAACCATGCTCAAAATCAGCTGTGTCATCAGCATTTCTATTCCCCATAACACTTCATTCCCTCAAAACAAGGGGACTTTGATACCCTTTGGGAATAAGCTCCCCAAGTTCACCCTGGATACATGTGCTGACTCCATCAGGCTTGTGCAATCCCTGCAGAGTTCTTGTGTTAGAGGAGCTGCTGAACAGCCAGTCTTTATCTCACCTCACCAATGGTTTTATAACCTCTCCTGCATTCCATGCTGTCTCTTCTCTGAACTGAAGGCTTCTGGCATAATCATCTCTTTCTCACACTGGGATCCACACAGGACTGTTGCAAAGGTTGCATGTCCTCTTGCAGACTTTCTAATCAGTTTCTCTCTGAGTCACCGATGCTATCTAAAAATTCATTATCTACAAATGCAATCTTTGAGTTTTGTCTTGTAAAATCACAGGTGATTTGTACCTGAAAATGTCTTGTTCCTAGGAAGGCCATCTTTTAAAACTGAAATCACTTCATTACAACCGAAAAAGTTACTTGGTTGGTAAATTATTTTTACCATAGATCAATTGCAATGAATAAATGCTTCCCTTTTTTTAAAAAAAGAGCTTCCAACAAGATGTCTCTGATGAAAGTGCAACTAAATGCAATTCTAAACAGAATCTTGGTTCAGCATCAGGAAGAAAGGAATATTTCAAATGTTGCATGCTTGCCAGGTGAAGAACTTATGATTAACTGAATGTAGGTGCCCAGTTGGATTTACCATGTAAGACCATGGAAGTGGATCCAGCGGTTTGTAAACAAACAGAAAGTACTTGCTTCCCAATGGGAAAAAAAGCAGGAAGGAAACAATCACAATTCTCAGGTGGTCCTTATCAATACCCAATATAGAGAGAAAACCTGTTTATAATGATTTGAGAAGCCAGAGGGGGAATGGGGAAGAGAGAGCAACACTTCCCTGTCACACTACAGTCCTAGGGTCACATCACCCCAGCCTCAGCTGCTGGAAGAAATTCAGGGCTGACCAGAGTTCCAGCTAAAATTCACCCCTGGAAGCAGCAGCCACTGAAGCCTGCTTTCCAGCAGGCTTGTGCCTGGTTGCTGACTGAATTATTTTCCTTGTCTTTATCACAGTTCAGCATCATGAGTTCATCCCTCTCTGATGACTGTCTGAAAACTGACAGAGAAGAGAAACTTAAACTCAGAGGTGAATCTGGGGCTCTCTCATGTGGGTTCTTTGATGCACAGGTTGAGCTCATATTGAATTCTTTAATGCAGCATCAGTCTGTGCATTTCTCTGTACAGAACAGAAACTACTGGTGTGTCCTGCCTTTGAGATCTCTACATTTGGCTCCACAAATTAATATAAAAGACAGAAGAAAGGACACATGAACCAGCATAATCCCCAAGAGACAAAGCTAGAAACGAAAAATAATAACACATATTTCAAAACACTTGCACAAGTGTTATTATCCTGTAGTTTGTGTTAAAGTACTTCCAGTATCCAGCTCTACGAGCACACACAAGAAGGTGCCAACCCTACTGAAACCTGTTTTTGCCATGGATTATTTCATTTTCTAGTCCTGATCCATCTATACCAGCACTCAGTACCAGAGCAGCTGCATGTATACAGGGACACTACATACAGGAGTAAAGAAACATTCTGAGCAGATCTCAAAAATACCAAGGAAATGTCAGACTAAATGAGATTATTTTATGCTGCTTACATCAGTTTTCCTGCATCCCTATTTCGTTGACCCATGTTGTGAGAAAAGGCAAATCATATTTCCAGACCTGCTTCAATGCATTTTGCAGATAAGAAAAACCCAGTTGCACATTTCAGACCATCAAGAAATTCTCTCTGTGCACAAGAGAACACATTTTTTCCCCTCCTGTAACCAATTACTACAAAATTCAGCAAGTATCAGGTATCTACCGAAGGATACCTACATGAGAAAGCAAGGTAAAGCTAGGAGCCTTCCAGAACATCAGACAGCCTCACACAGAGGTTTGATGTTTCCCTTTTTTGTTCAGAGAGGAGAAATGAGTCAGGCACACTTGACTCTGGCTTGCCTTTGGATCTCAGACATGTACTATTTAATTATCATTAAAATCACACAAGCATGAAAGAAGCAATAAGCATGCATGGATTATTTCTTTGCTAACACTTACATGAGGAAAGTTGGTCCTAAAGGGCTTGGAAAAGTAATAGAGCCACAGATTTACTCTACCTTTGCCACTCAGACAATGCAAGTGTTGCTGTGTTCTGATGATCTCTTTCTAGGCCAGGATTCAGAGTGTCAATCAAAATTCTATTCATTAAAAAAAAAAAACCAAAGCTGGACACTGATAAAATCAGATTTCCTTTTAGTACTGATTTTATACTCATTGATTATTTTGGGGTACACTTGAAGAGGAAGCTTAGAAGTAAAATTGTCCCCCTTTCAGGACTCTTTTGAGGGATAACTGCCTAAATGTGTGCCATTGTAGGGGTAGAAATCCAGCCTTAAAAAGCTGAAGCAAGCCTTCTCACTAGCAATCAGAAGGGATTCCTCATATCTCTGTTTTCTGGAAATAATTTCTTGTGTTCACATTACTCCATTTGCTTTAGCATCCTCCTGCTCCAGCCTTCTCCTTTCCCTTCAATTCCTAAAGATCCCATTTCTCCTCTTTCCTCCGCATCTCTCATTGTCTTGTTATCCTTACAGTTCCTACACACTAAACCCTTCTCTCAGTGGGACTGTAAGAGAGGGTGATCATCAGAACAAGAAACAGCTTTCCCTTCCCACTGTTTGGGAAGTGAGGATCAAAAATAATCACAAGCCAGTCAAGCTTAAGCACAGATCCATTATTGGTGAGAGCAGTGCTCATTCCTGCTCATGTCTTACTCCAGGAGGAAAGCACACATCTGCTTCCTACCATTTGTCCCCTCATATCCCCCAACATGCACATTGTTATGCTAAATGTTCCCATTAGTTTATTGATCTGTCATCACAAATGTGGCTCATCCCTGATTAGGCCAACTGATGCAACCTGTCCCCACCTCTCTTCCCAGAGCAAGGAGCATGGTCTGTGTGTGCACTACTTTCTCTGAACTAGTCTAAATTAAAGCTCCCACTGTGTTCTGCTGTATTGTGATTTAACACACCTGATATTTCATACAGGAAAAACTAGAAACGTTTAGCAATTATCAAAAATATGGAACTATTCTAAAGCTGCTTAACTGTCACCCATTTTCCATCATTTCCTTAGGCCAGAAAAGCCTTAGCACTGTCTTGCAGCATAACCTCGTGCAAGGCAGGTCTGCACTGGTGCTCACACCAACACTTTGGACCTCGTTCAGCTCTGCCACAGCGAGCCAAAGGCAACAGGAGCTGTGTCTGCACTTGTCAGGACACAGCCTGGCCCTGTATTCCTGCAGCTCTCCAGCCTCTGCACTGAGTCCTCCAAAATTCCTGGGGTTTGGGCTGCTTTTGACCAGGAGGTGAGACCTTGTCCCTGTGTCTGTCAGCCACAGCCTGTGAACTCTCCAAGGCTGTGACACCAGTGCAGAGCTCTGCTTTGTCAAAGAATGTACAACTCACTGCTGCCAGACTTTTTTTTTTTCATTTTTTTTTTTAATTTTAGAAATAAATCCATACTTACATGACATTCCCAACTCTCAGGTTCTACTTCAGCATATTTTGTATTGCTTCCACATTCAGGAAATACAAAAACCTAACAAAAGTAAAAGCTTAGTTGTGCAGTAGTATAGCAGGAAAA